TGACATTTTCTTAATCTACTCCTCCAGTGGCTTAATAGTTATGAAACCTAGAGAAAAATTCATGGACATTTGTACTTCAAGTATAACTCGAAGGAAAAAAAGGTTTTGGAATGGGAGTGGGTCTGGAGACCATAGGATCCATCTGGCAGATGTAGCTCAAACTGGATCCCTGGCCTTTGTAGTCATGGCTGGTGAAGGACACTAAACCAGCTGAGCAAGGGAGCTGCTGTTCAAGCAGGAGAGAGAACTTTGCTATCTGTTTATCTTATAACTTTTTGTTTGAAGTCATGTGGTTAAGGGCTCAACCTTATGTGTTAGTCAATATAGCCTTGTTTTGGTGTTACACCTAGAGCTGGGAGTCAGGGAGAACCAGAGTGAAACTGCAGGTTTCATCCTGCCAGAAACAGAAAGCAAACCAGCTTGCATATTCAGATCTCCCCCAGGGACCTGTGCCCAGAGACACAGCTGGGAAAGCCAGGAATGGAGAGTTCTCCATGCCAAGCTGCAAGGAATGGTGGTGACTGCAGGAGTGCATGCACCTTCCATGTCCTTGGACACTCTAACAGAGCCAACCATGTAAGGCTAGAGTTTGTAATGCAACTTTGTCCCACATGCAGAAAATGAATGATTGTTCTATGTTAAGTACCAACTTGCTGAAATACACACATATTCCACTCACGTGGAATGAACTATAACATACAAATTTTGGAGAATTAAGATTTCCATTCTGCAGAATCCTCCTTTTTCTCTGTTCATTCTCTGCTACATGGCAACAATTTACTAACGACACCTTCCCCAAGTGGTGTACTGACTTGTATTCTCATTTTCCTCTAGATAAAATACCCTATAATCATAGTTCTCTCACAAAGCCAGAACACGTAAGTCTCCTTTCCAAATGCTTCTGCCCATGTTTGTCATCTTCACCAAATTTCCCTGGCAGCATCAAATATTAACATGCCTCCATTCCCTTTCTTTGCTTTCACTTTTGTGACCATTCAGTTCTTGAAATTCTCTTCAAGTTCCATCAAATTAGTAAGCAAATCCCTGCTGGTTTTAGCAGGATATAATCAGGACCTAGCCAAGTACTCACCTACCACATCTTTTGATTTCCACCTCATTCTTTTTTGCATGCTTCTTCTCAGCCATTTTACTTAATCCAGAAACCATTCTCCAGTCCAGATCAATTTGTATTTCACTGTCACACAACCAAAACACTTTGCTGGTCCCAGTGGTGCTGGACACAAAGTTGTTATTAAACTGACAAGCCACCTTTGGTGTTCCTCTTCAACAAAAAAAGTGAAGTGGTGCTGACTTGTGTGCACTGCCAGGGATGACAGAAGAATCCTGCTCAGGGCTCTGAACTGGTGAGCATCCCAAAGAATCCCCAGAGGAGCAGAGATAGCATAGGCAGTGCTGGAAGACTAAATAGATTTGTGAGGTCTTTTTCCATGTTAATACATTCACCAAAAATACAATTGTAAATTTTAATCAAAATCAGGATTTTTTTTTTTTTTTGGTGAGAAAAGCTGTTCTTCCAGTCCTGGAACTAACTCATCATAAACTGTTTGCTTTAACAGGGTACAACTGTCAGCCAGCCCAAATGAGAGTCAGAAACAACCCTTATTCTTCATCTACTGTTCTTCAGAAGTAAATTGCTTAACTCAACTAATTTCTTTAATTTTCTAGGGCAAGATTTAATTTTTAATTTCAAAATCCAATATTATTTCGGTATTTTTAAAGTAAAAGAAGGCTTCTTAAGATTAAACAAAATATTTCAGTACACTGAGTGGCATATTTCATTACGTTTTAGATTTTTATTTCAAGTGAGATGTTAGTCCTTAAATTAAGTCAGTTATATTTCTTAAACAAACCAAAGCATTGGTTCTTAAAGGCAAAGCACCTATAAAGGCAAAGAATCAAGTGGACCTTACACAATTTACAAATGGTGAAAGTTGATTTTCCATTACAATTTCCTTTCACCCCACTGTATCAGTCCTTGTCAAATACTCCCTTATCCTTCTCCCTTTCCTTTTCCCTTTCTTCAGATGCCCAAGACTTCCTTGCACCTTCTACATTTTCTAAATCTAAAATTTTATTTGCATCTTTCTAATAAAGTAGACTCCTATTGAGAAAGGAAAAGTTGCAAACATTATAAGTCATGGAAGAAATATTAGCAAAAACAAGATCTTCCAGCAAGTTCATGAGCTCAGTACCTGCCAAACAGACCAGCCCAATGCATCCTCCTGATCCTCCTGCTGACCTGGTGCTGTTGGAGGCAGGATGAAGGAGTGAAGTATCCCAGTGCTGCTCACTGCCTGCTACACCTGCAATCAATTACTATTGCTGTTCTGCTGTGAAAAGCCCAAATGCCTTGCTTAGCTGGGATGATAATGGCATGGTTTGTGTGTAGTTGGATATCAGACCACATTCTGAATCTCTGAGCAGCAGTTCTATTGCACTGAAATAAATTTCCCCTTTATAAAATTCTAAACATAGCAGGTAAGAGTATAGTTTTCCTTTAACGACATGGGGCTTTTCAATACATTTCAGTATATTTTAGAAAATATGATGAAATATTTTGCATAAGCAAAATCTGTCACAACTAAGACCCCAAGAATAGTGGTCACATTTTGGGGAAGCATATTAAAAGCAAGGCTGGTCTCACAACTTATTTGTTAAAATAGTTTGACTCAACCTATGATTAGAAGGGAGACCTTTAGGGGAAAAGGCAATGCCCAAATGCTCATGTACTGAAAGAAGTGGTGTGAGTGACTCAGGATTTGTCATGCCTTCTGAGTACACTTCCCATGAGGAATTTATTATACTGATGGAGAGACAAGCCTTGAATGACACACAGGGTGTGAGCTTCTAGTGCCTGACAATAATTTCAGTAAAGTTGGCACAGTTTGGCCCTCCTGGGCAAATTGGGGTGGGGGGAGAGGGCGTGTAGGGGTGGCAGTGGTTTGTATTGGAGCAGCTGGCTTTGCTGAGTGCTAATAAAGTAATTATATTCTAAAGTGGCAAAGTGGTCCCTTGGCCTTCAGCCTGTTATATTTCATACCAAGCAGCCTATCCTGCAGGAAAGAGAAAAAAAGTATTACAGAGCTCTGTGTACTCCAGTGAGGCTTTGACCATTGCTGGGTGCTCAGGAGGCTTGAAAAGGTCTTTGAGGTGCATCTCAAACTGCACCATAATACACAAATGTGATATTGCTGGGTTAAAAAAAAACACAACCAAGGCAGCTAAGGACAGTAAGCACAGTTTCCAATTCTAAGGTGGACAAGATAGGTGGACAAGATAAACTGCACTCTTTCTGAGGCCTCTTACTGAGAAGGATTGATTTTTTATATCAATTATTTTAAGTATTATCATGATATCATATTAGAACACATTTAACATGTGTTTATTATTTTATTTTATTTTTTTTTTTAGGTGACATTTTTGTAAGTTCCCTGAATCTCAAAAAGGGCTAAAATGTTATAGGAGGCTTTGTCTGGAAGCAGATTGCAAAGGAAATACCTTGGTTATCCACAGTATTTTCATGGAAAGATATTTTGTGATGCCTTTTTAGCTAGACTACAACCTGAGAAGAGTTTCTCAGCCTGTTATATTTAAAGAATTATCTAACCTCTGGTGAAAAACAAACAAACCAAACCAAACCAAAATAACCAAACATGTAATAGCTTAAATATTACAGTAATGTGAGTTGTTTTCTTGGTAACAAAATAAAAGCTAAGTTAAAATATAACATAGTTTATTGCTTGTATAGTCCATCATATTGTTTTGTTTCCTGTCTTGAAAAACTGGGAAAGCATCTATTTAAAAATACACACATTTTCTTCTGTTTTGTTTTCTGGTGTTTTACTGACTACCAAGGCTATTTTGACCACCAATTCACAGTGTCATACAGACATTATTTACCCTCAGCCTCTGACTATTTTGATTTCTATTTATTATTACTTTCAAAGTGATATTTAGATTATATAATGCAGGGCTACATTTTAATATATAAAAAGAAATGGATTTATAGGTAGATCAATTGAAACTTGAACAGGCAGAAGGATTTTCCACAATAATAATATTGCAAGAGAGTAACAAGAAGCACAGTAATAGAAACAGATTGAAACCACTTGCTAAAAGTTTCTGAAAGAGGGACAGAACAAGGAATATTCAAAACTGTCTGGGTTAGGAGGACCCAAGCCAGGAAAGCTTCAAAACTGAGATGGTATTTCCATCAGTGCTCATGTGTTCTCCTCAGACCAGTACAACTGCTCTGCTCTCAGGGCTCAAAGTAATGTGTCTCCCCAGCAAATGCATTATTTTCTGTGGACATGCAGCCTTGATTTGGCACTAATCCAAGGATTTCTTCATCGCACAACATTTTCTGCAGTATATACAAGTCCACAATAAGCCTGTAAATGTGCTATAAAGTTCACTGTGGGAGGGGGGTTGAGCCTTATCCACAAAATCATCCACCTTCTGATGACGTACTTGGTTCATTTTATCAGGTACTCGATGAAGGACACAAATATCAGATCAGATGGTAATTTCTTACCACAGTTTCTTGATGTAATAATACCCTATAGAAAAAAAAAAAAACAACAACAACAAAAAAAAAAAAAAAAAAAAAAAAAAAAAAAAAAAAAAAAAAAAAAAAAAAACAACAAAAAAAAAAAAAAAAAAGGGAAAGAAAAACACCTTGTGACCTTGCTCAGTTCCTTGCATATATGTTTGTAAATGGATAAAAAAATAAAAAATAAATAAAAAAAAACCAACAAAAAAACAAACCCTAAACCAAGGTGATTGTAGAAATCAAGCAGAGGAAAGCAGTTCCATAAGAATTTTGATATAATAGTGATCTTCTGTCCATGAATGTCTAGATAACTTTAGGGATAAATTTAGAAGCCAACATAGTGCTATAAATGTAGGATGTAAATATAAGGAAGTAATAATGAAATCTCTGGCAAGACTTCACTTATACTGTGCTCACTAATACTTACCACATCATAAAAATCTGGTTTCTTTCAAATGTGGTGAGAAGGAAAGAGAGTTGATCCTAGTAATAAAAGTTATGAGCTGTGAAGACAAGAACAGGAAAGTTCTCATTCTGAAATAGGTCACAGAAAAAGACAAATAACTGAGACACAAATAGTAAGTGATGAAATTCACAGAAAAAATATTTCAGCAGGAGAATTATAGGTATTTACCCATTTTTACTAATTCTTCTTTATTTTATTTGCTATGATAAATAACACAACTGTCTGCTTTAAGTTGGGAGAATTTTACTGAATAATGCAACTACAGACTACAGAGAGTTTGTGTGCCAGTTCTGCTTCTCATTTGCAGAACTGGAGAACTGGAGCTTAAGTATGACTTCAGATTATACAGAAATACCAAGTGGCTGAATGCTGGACTGCAAGTGAACAATTGACTTTGAAAAACAAAGCCACATTGCTCACTGTGAGTGCAGAAGAGCACAGATGCTATCAGTAAAGACATCTCCTGAGAAGAATATAAATTTTAGTCCATTTTTCTTTTTTTCTTCTATAAAGGTTATTTGGGAGACAGTCATGACAGTTTTCTGTAAAATACAGGTAGGAGGCCAAATTTTGATTTCCCTCACTTTGGCATGATTGTCTTAATTGGGTATATTTTCATTCCTTCACTTTGATTATATGACAAGACAGTAGAGAATACCTGAAAAGAGAGGATTTTTAGCACAAAGAGAAAATTAAGAAGCCATCTTTAGTTTTAAAAAAAGAAAATTGTAAATGGCTTATTTTGCAAAAAGTTATATTCACTCATCTGATCACAGCAAAAAAAACCTCACCCAAATCAGAAATCTCAGACATTAAGGTATGTTCGACAAGCATAATTTCTAAAAAAAGGAATCAACTACTATATCTGCCTTTTTTCTTTCCTGTCCTCTTTTCACTCCCAGTGATCTTTGTGTCTCATTGTCTCAGAATTTTGCAGGTCTTCACACCTTGGAGCACCAGGAGATGCTCTTTTATATGGTAGCCAAGTGAACTTCTTATTGGAAACAAGCTCCCATTAACCATCATGGATGCCTGAGCAGCAGGTCCAGAGTCACAGAGAAAAGCTGGGCAGGGAATTAAACCTCAGCCCTTTAACCTCCAACCTCACGTCCTTGACAGGCACTTGCTGGAGATGAAGTCTGTGCGCTGCAATTTTTTCCCACTAGGCCTGTGTCCTTGGAGTTAAGATATGCTGAGCTTCATTCCAAAGGCTGGATGTTCCCAGTGACTATGTGTGAAAATGCAGAACCCACACAGCTCTGCTCCTGCATTTCACAGCCACTAGAAACCCAGGGTTTTTCTGATGAAATTGCTGCATGTGCCTGAACAAACCTTTTTAATCAAATTCTAAATGCAGGGGATGATTTCTTACTCAGAAATAAACAGATATCAAGTCAATACCAGCCATTGCAATTCCTTATGTTGAAGAGATAAATATGCATCTTGTACGGGTAGAGAGAGCATATCACAAGAAAAATAGCATCATGGAATAAAAATCGAAGAAAGCAGGAAAAAAGTAATGATAAACTAGTTCTTGAAAATACCATTGAACCAAAAATAAAACACAAAAAATTATTTTAGTATGCACTGACAGTAGTGGTGAAACATGAGAATTATGTTCTGCATAATGTTTTTAAAATAGAAGTATTGAAACCATTGTAGCAGAAACATTGTGAGGGCCTTCTTGTGTTGCAATTAATTCTAAACAAAATGGCTTTTCACTTCTCACATGATGGATTTTATTACAAAATAACCCAAACCTAAAACTCCAAATACTGATATTCTTATCAGCAGAAAGTGAATTGCTATGTAGATTAAAACCATCCTGTATAAGCAACCCCATCCCCCTGCCAATGTAAACATGCAAAGCTTCCAGCCTGTGGAAGCTGTCTAACACTACATGTCTCATACTACCTCACTTATTTCTTGCCTCTTAATCCAGTGGTATACACAAAAATTCATCACAATGTTTTTTTTAACCTTTAAACGCCTCAATGCCTAAAAAGTCAAAATCTTTGTTGCTACAATCCCAGGGGTTATTCCAGTACGGAAATTCTTACCTTTCCTGGTTTTCTCTTCAGCTCAATTCCTTCCCTGATCTTAGATAACAAGGAGAGGCTCTGCTTCTGCATGCTCCTGTCTTCACTCCAGTTCTTTCAGCACATTAATTCTTAAAATAAATATTTAAGATTTTTGATACAGAATTCACTACATCATAATTTCTGTGAATATATGAGTATGCAAAACTGAGCAAGCCTTTAACTGGAATGAATATGGGGCCTGCCTCCTGATTTACCCATCATCTTATTTCTGAGTGCCATGAATCCTGAATATCTAATCTGGCAGGTTCCCTGTGTGAAGAGCAGAGTGACATATTGACCAGGGACTGTATAAGTTGTTGTATAGTTAGAAGACCTGTGAGTCAATGAATGGATTTTTATCAGTATAAGCAGGCTTTGGATTCTGCCTGAACACTGAGGAGAGAGAGGGTAGAATTTTCCTACATGCAGAATTCAGCTGTTGGGGAGAAAGTCCAATATTTCAAGAACAGAAGGTGTGGGTGCTACTTCAGAAGTACAGCTGTGAGGAGGAAATATGCTGTGAAATACTTATATTAAGATATATCATGCAAATGCTACACGTGGGTCCAGTGTCTGAGAAACATTGTAGATGTAATTATGTGGAAAATCTATGTGAATTGACTTCTTACAGACCAATTCCAAATGAATAGCCAATTTCATGTAAATTAAGACTATGACATCACCTTTATATACAAATAGTCTTTCTTAATATGGAAAGTAGTATTTTACTGTTCCAGATAGATTAATAACTTCATAGATACAGCACAAGCTTCCCAGCTGTCTTCTGTCAATGAACAGTCTTCTGTCATGTTCATATTCCCACTTCATAACAGGGAAACAAATGCATACACACACTGAAAACTCAAAGTAGTTACTTGAAATAGCTTGAAATCACAAGTATTTATTCTTTTGTACTGTCTAAAGATGTTCGCTCTGAGATGCCAAAGGTCTGAAATGCCACCACTCCCTGCCATTCTAGGGACTGGGAATGTTACAGTACCTAAAATTCTTTGCAAACTGTAAGATTTTTAATGACGATATGTAATCCCACTCCTGTGACTCCTAAGAATCTCACTGCCAAAATATGAAAAGTATTTAATGGATTCAAGAACAGATATTTCTCCACAGGAACACAGAATTTCCCAGACATACAGGCAAAATCTACCTCAGTTTCATCATTGCCCATAACTCTGCTATAAATGCAAAAACAACTTTGTATAATAAATCATTAATATCACACTTTGGCATTTGATATAAAGGATGGGATTCCAGTTACATCAGTGATGTACTATTTTATTTTTAATGTCTGAAGCTTATTCCATTTTCTAATGCAGCAGGAAGAAATCACAGTTATTTTAGCTAGGTTTCCATTTCAAGCCTGCCTGAGCTCTCTGCACTTAAATTCAATGCCAGCTTTTTCCCACAAATATATACAGTTAAAGAAGAGAGCTAAAATTCACAGAGCTGTCAAGTAAGATATCCATTAAGATATTAAGATGACAGTGCTCAAACTTCAACATCAGAGCATTAAATCTCAAAGGAATTCACTTTGTTAATGAGAAGCAAGACAGGAAGGAGTGCATGATGCACGGGGGTGGGAAATGGGATAAGAATATGGAACAATATGATGGCAGAATAGAAAGCACAGATTGAGGTACCACAAGGAATCTGAATTCTTAAACTAAGACTTGTCAATGAGATTTTTAGCATATGATATGCAATTTTAATTAAATTATGGCCCAGAGTCAGAGAAGAAAGCCAAAGGCCCAGGTTTTTATTTCATTTTTAGAACAGCAATCATATCTTCTACAGTATTTCATGAACTTCTAATTAAATATGGATTTATGGCTTTAAAGTACCTGGAAAAGCAGCATGACTTTTGGGATTCATGTTTTGCTGGACTCAGAGCAGTGCTGTCAGAGTGAAATTCCAGCCCTTCTTCATAGGTTCAGATAAATGTGGGCAAGGTCTTATGAAAAAAATTTAGGTTGAGCACTGTGTGCCAAAAATATTACTATACTTCAGAGGAACAAAAAAAAAAAAAGTGCCATTTTGTGTGGAAACATATTCAACAAAACCTTACTTGTGCTTGCTTATAGTAGCAGGGCACAGTTTTATACAAACCTAATGAGTTCTGAGTTCTGCCAAAAGTGCTATTTCAATCTGATGGCTGTTTTTTTTGCTGTGCTTTCCAAAACCTAAATTTTTTGGCAACTCTAATTGCACTTCTTTCACACCCTATCACATTATTTCAAACAAATACGTTATCTCTTCTATTTAAAATAAGAGTAATATTCCTTTTCCAATAAAGAAAATCTGCAAACAGTTTTACATATGGCGATGATTTATTGTTTAACATATTTCAAGTAAGTTTACAGAGTGTAGCTGTGAAGGCTGAGTGCAAATGAAGACAGTACCTGTTTTGTTGTGTTCATATAAGAGGAGAATACAGAAAAAAAAATAATGAAGTGTGTTATCTGAGGCTATTTTGATATTGGAATGGACAGATAACTTCCTGAAGGTCAGCTTCTCCTAAAAATTCTTAAAAATTCTCACAGGATGAAGGGTTAAGATGCTCTAGGTAACAAAGCAATGCTTGTAATAACTGAATATATATATATGCATAAACCATCAAATTCAGGAAGTGAGACCCTAACACAAAATCTTCTAAGCCAGATTTACTCAGTAAAACTGAGGATAATATTGCTATCTTAAAAGAGGTTTGTGCTTCTTAGGACAAATGTCTGGTGCATGTGTATGATATACTTCTAGAATCATCAGAAATATGGGAGTTTCTTGTGGGGGTAACGTGCTGAAACTATTTGCAAGCAGGATGTATGGCTGTTAAGCTAAGTTAGAAATGGTTCTTATTTTTCTCAACAGTTTCTAAGTGGAGGTGCATAGTATATGACTACTTAATTTCATATAATTCTGCAGAAATGGCTGT